GGACTGAGGAGTACAAGTGTGATCAGGCTTCAGGAGGAAGATCCTGTGGTGAGGATAAAGAAGATGCTGGGGGGAAGGCCATGGGGAAGTAGCCCAGAGAGTTGTAGCTGTAGCTGTCATGCAGCTGATAAAAGGAGGAGATGTAGACAGCTGCCATCCACAGGGCCCTGGGCTGGAACCCGGTGTAGAGGGTGGTCCCGGGATGTCCCATCACCCCAACAAGAGGAGTTGACCTGGTCCGTGAGCAACACCAGAAGGGAAGGTCTAATTTGGAAAGGGATCTGGCCTGTCCCCAGCCCACTAGGTGGGACAACAGAGACTGTGGAGATTGTTTGCCATTTCCCTCATGCTGGCCAATGATGAAGTTAGCTGACTGAATGGCAGGTTTGAGCCTCTAACAGAAGCGGCCAAACTGAGGGCTGCTGTGAACCTCTGAGGTGAGCAAATCTGCTGAAAAGCACAGGACCCACCAAGGCAGAGGAGGAACTTTGTCACAATATATATAAAACTAGGTAGTCAGGACTCCCACATGTTCAACTTTTCATTTCCCCCTCCTCACGCACCTAAGACAGCCGATACAGTTTCTTTCAAAATCAGGGTGAGTTTTTCCCTGTCTGCATTGAAGTAGAACAGCAACAGAATTTAAGCCATACCTAATTCCTATATTATGTTAATTTCATATGCACAAGTGGGATAAAGTTTGAGACTCAACCAGTAATGTCTTGTTTGCTTCCTACTGTAGACCGTTAATCTGCATCTTTCCCTTTTTCTTTCCCTCTCACTTAAGCAACTGATGCCGACTCAACACACACACAAAGTTAAGCACAGCCATACATGTATGTAGGATTAGGACCTTAGCCTATAACCTATTTAAACAAACTGCTATGCTGGATCAGAGCAACAATCCACCTAGAACAGGGGTCGGCAACCTATGGCATGCATGCCAAAGACAGCATGTAAGCCCATTTTTAATGGCACACTGCTGCCTACCGGGGTCCCGGCAGGCAGCAGTGTGCCATTAAAAATCCAGCCCGGCCCGCTCTTCTCTGCTCCCCGCCCCCTCCCACGGGGGCAAAGGGCAAAAGCTTGGTCCTGCTGGTTCCCCTGCCTCTTCCCACAGGGTGCTGGGTTCCTGCGCCTCCTCTTTGTCCCTCCCGCCTCACCAGCCCTTGCAAGAGAGGGAGTGGGGGAGGAGCGAAGTCAGCATGCTCACTGCTCCCAGCGGAGGTAGAGAAGAAGCGGAGGCAGGGCCTTGGGGAAGTGGGGCATATCCCCTCAGCCCCCTGCCCTGACCCTCCCCCCCCACACACACACCTAGCCCTCTGCTCTGAGCCCCGCACACCCCCAAGGCCCCTGCCCTGAGCCCTGTACCCCCCCTCACACACCCAACCCTCTGCTTGACTCCTTCACGCCCCCCATGAAGCCAGCCCTGACTCTTGCATCCCCCCACATCCCCACCCCCACCCTGAGCACCAAACGGGAGCTCCTGCACCTCCTCCCCCCCACATTCCCACCTGCACCCCTCACACCAAATGGGAGCTGCCCAGGTAAGCGCTCTACACCCAAACCTCCTGCCCCAACCCTGAGCCCTCTCCCTCTCCCTCATTCTAGCTCCTGGCCAGACCCTACACCCCATCCCCCAGCCTGCTCCTTTACCCCCAGCCCTGTGATCAGTGCACTCCCACCCTCAGCTCAGTGGAGAGAGAGAGGAAGAGAATGGCCAGAACCAGGGAGAAGGTAGGTACCCACTGTGTGTGGGTAGGGCCGGAACCCCAGACTGGCAGCAAGCTGAGCGGGTCCGGCAGCCGGGATCCTGGCTGGCAGGGGCCAGCGGATGGAACCCCTGAGCGGCAGCGGGCTGAGCCGCTCAGCCCACTGCCAGTCTGGGGTTCTGGCTGCAGGCCCCGTGCCAGCCGGGGTCCCGGCCACAGGCCCCGCTCAGCCCACTGCCAGGCTAGCGGAACAGAACCCCACACCAGCAGCAGGCTGAGCAGGCTGGCGGCATAAGATCAACATTTTAATTTAATTTTAAATGAAGCTTCTTAAACATTTTGAAAACCTTGTTTATTTTACAGTACAACAATAGTTTAGTTATATAATATACAGACTTAGAGAGACTGACATGCTAAAACACATTAAAATGTATTACCAGCACTTGAAACCTTAAAGTGAATACATGAAGACTCGGCACACCACTTCTGAAAGGTTGCCGTCCCCTGATCTAGAATCATGTCACTTGATAGCTCCAGTGTCAGATACTTCAAAGGAAGGTACAAGAAATCTTGAAGTGGGCAACTGTAGAATAATATTACCGTAAAAAGTTTCTTCCTAATCAACACAGTCAGGAACTGGTTTATGCTCTATAGAGGAAAGTTTTTCTCCCTTCCTAAATCCTCACTAATGTAATGAGAAGGTACAGATATCCACGTAAAAGTGACCATTTCTTTTTTGAAATCCTGCTGAATGCTTGGCCTACAATGGGAAAGCCACTGAACAAGCTATGTCTTCAATACACCAGCCACCCCCACCCCATAATACAGAGATCATGTGATTTAAAAAAAAAAAGTCATCTTGAAAAAAGACTATACATGTTTAAGAAAGCAGACCAATCATTTAAGAAGCAAGCAGTGGTGGAAAAATACCAGAGACATAGGTCTAGTTCTTCCAAAAGGTGTGGCACAAAGGCATGCAAGGTAGTATGACCCTCATATCTCAAACATGAGTTTATATTCATGAAGGAAAAGGATGAATTAGGTCCCAGTGTGTACTTTGTGGATAAACTGGGGCTAAGACCTTGAAGACATAAAAACTGCAGAGACAAAAAAAACAAAGAAGATAAAAAAGGCCAAATGAGCACTTCTAGAGTAATGGTTCTCAACCCACGGCCCACTTGCAGCTCAATCAGCACATAGCTGTGGCCCATGGTCACCCCATCTCAAAAAAGATATTAGAATTGGAAAAGGTTCAGAAAAGGGCAACAAAAATGACTGGGGGTATGGAACGGCTGCCGTATGAGAAGCGATTAATAAGACTGGGACTTTTCAGCTTGGAAAAGAGATGGTTAAGGGAAGATATGATTGAGGTCTATAAAATCATGACTGGTGTAGAGGAGTAGTAAACACTTCCTTATCATAACACAAAAACTAGGGGTCACCAAATGAAATTAATAGGGAGCAGGTTTAAAACAAATAAAAGGAAGTATTTCTTCATACAATGCAGAGTCAATTTGTGGAACTCCTTGCCAGAGGATGTTGTGAAGGCCAAGATTATAACAGGGTTCAAAAAAGAACTAGATACGTTCATGGAGGATACATCCATTAATGGCTATTAGCCAGGATGGGCAGGAATGCTGTCCCTAGCCTTTGTTTGCCAGAAGCTGGGAATGAGCGACAGGGGATGGATCACTTGACGATTCCCTGTTCTGTTCATTCCCTCTGGGGCACCTGGCACTGGCCACTGTCAGAAGACAGGATGCTGGGCTAGATGGACCTTTGGCCCTACTGGGTCAGACCATTCTTACGTGACATCCTCAGGGACATACAGGGTTGTATATGTATTCTATGGATGTGGCCCACATAACACAGAGGATGCATATAGGGCCCATAATGATAAATAGGTTGAGAACCACTGTTTTAGAATATTGATGTCTCTTCCTTTAGATTCTTTTCTCCTTCTGGAAATAGAATGAAGCTGCTCATTTAACATAACACAGAATAGAAAAATGTAAAGGAACCTCAATACGGACTTCACTAGCATTTGTATAAGACCCTTTCAGAGACTAGTTGCTGGTACAGTACTGACATTTGTAAGGAAATAGTGAGGGATCTCGCTGAAATTAAGTGGGACACATTCTACTTTCAAACAAGGTGCTTGATCCCTCCACCAGCTTAATGGCACTACTTGCTCGAGTAAAGGGCCAGAAAACTGAGAATATGAAAAAATTAAATGTTAATAAAGTTAACTCTTCATATTAAATAGCATGACCATGATACATGTAATATACTAGCAATACATGAATTTGCAGGACTAAAAGTCACTATTTTATGTGACAGGGCAAGGCCAGATGGCTATAGAAAAGTAGTGGGAGATAGATATATTAGCTCCGGGCTAAACAAATCCCTGGTACCAGGATAAGTGAAATGGAAGCTGCTCCAGGTCAATTAAGACACCTGGGGCCAATTAAGAACTCTCCAGAAGGCAGGGAGAAGGCTAGGTTGATTGGGACACCTGAAGCCAATCAGGGGCTGGCTGAAACTAGTTAAAAGCCTCCCAGGCAGTCAGGTAGGCACACATGTCAGGAGCTGCAGGAGGAAGTTGCGCTGTTGGAGAGACTGAGTAGTACACACCATATCAGGCACAAGCAAAGAGGCCCTGAGGTAAGGGTGAAGTGGAGCCTGAGAAAGTGAGGGCTGTGGGGGAAGCAGCCCAGGGAATTGTACATGTCCTGTTTCTAAAAGGTCAGCTACCATGGCTGATACTATTAGGGTCCCTGGGCTGGAGCCTGAAGTAGAGGGTGGGCCCAGGCTCCCCCCCCCCCCCCCCTTTGCCCCCTGATTAATCACTGAGACTGAGAGACAACAGAGACTGTGCAAGGAAGGATAACTTCTCCTCACCTCCCTTACTGGCTTATGATGAAAATGGCTCAGTAGACTGTGACCCTTGTCTCTAGAGAGAGAAGGGTTACGTGGAGGGTCAGTGAGCCTCTGAGGCTAGTGAAATCTGCCAGGAAACGCGGGACCCACAGAAGCAAGGACAGAGCTTTGTCACATTTAATATACAGTTTCCCCAATATTTGCATATATAGGCAACAGCCGTCTGTAAACTGCAAAGCTGTAACGCACCACTCACACCAATTGTACCGTGCAATAAACAAAATTATTCTAGAGAATGTTGTCACACTTTGTTCTGCTGTGCATAAATTACCTAACATTTTTGCTGCTACAGTATGGAGTCAAAAAAATATCAAATTTTCTACAGAAGTTACATCACACATTACTAACCTCACTACGATTTAAGAACATGTTGGTTTTCTTACAGGATGTGTTTCTCTGGAAAGATATTGAGCAGCACTATTGGCTGATATGAGGACTAAAACTAGGACATTAAAAAAAACAACCATTTGCTGCAAACACACTGAAAAATAATTTAAAAAGGAGGGACACACTGTGTGTTCTGTTCCAAAGTGTTCCTGTTAAGAAGCCCTTGTAGCGAGAAAAGCCTTCAAGAACTTGTATGTCCACACATCACTTATAGCGGGATGGAAGAAAGGAGATCATTTTGTGTCACTGATGAAGTCTGCAGATGAAACAAAAAATGGGGAAGTGGTAAATAATGAAGAGGACAGGACATTGATACAGGGCAATCTGGATCACTTGGTAAATTGAGCACAAACAATATGCATTTTAATATGGCTAAATGTAAAGGTATATATTTAAAAACAAAATGTAGGCTGTACTTACAGAAGGAGGGATTTTATCCTTGGAAGCAGTTAATCTGAAAGATTTGGGTTTGTGGTGGATAATCTGAACATGAGTTCCCAATATGACAGTTCCCAAAAGAGCTAATACAATCCTGGAATGCATAAATAGGGGATTCTCATGTAGGAGTAGGGAGGTTATTTTACCTCTTAGTGGCGGCACCGGTGCAAAAATTGCTGGAATACTGTGTCCCGTTCTGGTGTCCACAATTCAAAAAGATGTTGATAAATTGGAGAAGGTTCAGAGAAGAGCCACAAGACTGATTAAAGGATTAGAAAACATGGTTTATAGTAAAACTCAGAGCAAAACTGATTTAGCTTGACAAAGAGATGGTTAAGCGGCGACTTGATTGCAGTCTGTAATATCTACAAGGGGAACAAATATTTAATAATGTCCTCTTCAATCTAGCAGAGAAAGGTATAACATGATCCAGTGGCTGGAAGCTGAAGCTACACAAACTCAGACGGGAAATAAAGCATAAACCTGTAACAGTGAGAGTAATTAACCACTGAACAGTTTACAAAAAGGGTTGTGGTGGATTTTACATGACTGACCATTTTAAAATCAAGATTGGACGTTTTTCTACAAGATCCACACTAGAAATTATCTTGATAAAGCTCTCTGGCCTGTGTTATACAAGATGTCAGACTAGATGATCATAATGGTCCCTTCTGGCCTTGGAATCTAGGAGATAACTCTGGCAGGAGAAGAGCTGTTTTAACTTGTATTCAGTTCAACCAAGGTAAATACACACAGTATCTTAAAATTCACTTTCCTTCTCTGCTTGCACAATTGGGTTGAAGCAGAGAGACCCTCTTCAGTACATAAACTAATAAGGAGTTCTGCATATTAAGTGACTATGTTGAGTTTCAGAGGGGTAGCTATGTTAGTCTGTATCCACAAAAACAACGAGGCGGCCAGTGGTACCTTGTTAGTCTTTAAAGGGCCACCCGACTCCTCATTGTTTTTATGAGGAGTTTGTTTCCCTCGGATCCTGATCATATTTTTAAGGGAAATAAATCTTAAATTCATTTCAAATGCAGTCAGTCATTCTCAAGTGTCTTTTACCCATATCAGAAAGAATCTATATAGAAATATACTATGTATTTGAAAACTACATTTTTCTTCTGAGAATTAGAAAGGAAGGAGAGATTTAATCTCCAGCAGGACCCAGTCATATCCCAACACCTGATTAGACCTCAATAACGAGCCTTTTGGGAACAGATGTTTCCAGTTCCAGGAAAAACTAATTTGCATTCGAACAAAACATCCCCAGTGACTCCAGAAGAAACATCGTGCAAGTTCAGTTACCTTGATTTTGTTTTTAATCAACTTGCATTTGAGTCATTTTATAAAGACACTTTCACTGCAAATTATCCTAAACGGGAGAATGGAGGAAGAACATGCCACTTAAGTTTTCTATGCAAACACGATACAGGGAAACTCGGTTTTCAAACACACTGCATTCAACCTAACTATATGCCACATACTTAAATACACACAGTTGCCAGTAGTCCTGCTATGATAAATACAATCTTAACACAAAAGACTGAAGTTCTGGTAAACAGGATTTTGCAAGTGACACTTAACATTTTGCTAACATCCCCATGTGTCATTCACAAAACTAAAAGAATACAGTTAACTTTCTTAAGGGGTAGATTTTTGTCTGGGCACAAAGACCACCACCACACACAAACCACTGGTCACATGTATAATAGGCGTATAAGAGATTTAAAAAAGTCAAAGTACTTTGCAAGTACATTAGATCAGTGTCGTTTTAATTAATTTTGAAATACTTGCATAGAAGGGCTAGCCAAACTGCAACCTACAGTTCGGCACATTTCTCTGAATCATAGCAGTGCAGCCAGGGGACACTATAGAATCCTGCATGCATTACTTCATCTTGAAGAGAGAAGGATGTTCAGAAAGAGAAACCATGTTGCATGCTGGAACGCAAATTTTTCCAGACAGTGGCTCCAACTGGTTCTATTCAATGAAATTTGTGCATCACTCTGACTCCTAAAAAGCAGTCAAAAGGACTGTCTGTTGGGCAAAGTTTTGGCATCTGTGGAATATGAAGCCAAAAATAAAAGATTCTGGCAGTATGCATGCTGTTAGTAAGAATTCAGCTCTACAGAAGAATTTACAAGATATTTAATATTCTATGAAAAATGCCAATTTTGTTATGTTTAGAGTAAAAGTGAAACTCCTGCCAGACAGGGAAAAAGTGTCTATGTCCTATTGTCAGTGTAGCATATGTGCTCAGTACATTTTCTGCACAAATACCATTGGACTAGTCAAGACATTCACCTGTAGACTCACTGCTATGTAAAGCCAGATTAAGATGGACAGGCACATCAGATATTTACTATGCAGCATTTCCCTAAAACATCATCCTAACTGTTTTGTTCAATGCAAATGAGGCCTCTAGCAGATTTCTAAATACTGGGCAATCAACTGAATCCCTCTTGCCTCACAGATCCTGTACATTCCATATCTGTTCTGGAAGAACATTTGGACATATTACCAATGGGTAAATCAGAGCTACCTTGTCCTTAAACTCCTGAAAACAAGCCTTGGTGCTGGGTAAAGGTAACACCATGATCATACTTAAAGGGATTCATTCTGAGGTAGCCAGCCACATAAAAAATCCTGGCTTCATTTTCTGTCATATTCTTTCCATGGAATGTCCCTATTATCTCAAGTGATATAAAGTTATTTTTTCCCAAATGCAAGCTATGCAGAGGATGTACCCTTATTTAGCCATTAAAGACCTCAAAACAGAAATACATATTCTCAGAACCACAGGGCTCAGTTACTGTTGTTCCTCTTAAAAGGCTACATATCACTTACAGATTCTGAATCCTGCAACACGCTGCTCAATGGTTTGAACTACTATGATCTTACATTCTCTATGCTGGCAGTCTAGAAATAAAACCCTGGCTTTAAAACCCAACAATACCAATTTAAGGCCAATTAACAGACAGACGTTGCCTACATTCCAGATCCTCCTCCAGCCTTGTCCTGATTTATATCTTCACTCACCTGTCTCAGAGATCCCACCATTTCATTTTCTCTCACCTGCATTTTGTAGACAAATGAGCCAAATGCTTGATTGGGCTACTGATCATGTTAAGCTTCCATTGACAGCTCTACGACTTATATTGCAGCACAGTTGAATTGCATTTGTAGAGTTTTTTAAAATGCAAACAGCATCATCTCATGCCAAAACCAGCTCAAATTATTCAGAAGAACACCGCAATTGATAATTTACAATCACAGAATATCAGGGTTGGAGGGACCTCAGGAGGTCATCTAGTCCAACCCCCTGCTTTGAGCAGGGCCAATCCCCAATTTTTGCCCCAGATCCCTAAATGGCCCCCTCAAGGATTGAACTCACAACCCTGGGTTTAGCAGGCCAATGCTCAAACAACTGAGCTATCTCTCCCCCAATGTCCTTTGAACTTTCTGTAAATGTTATTACAATATTCTCTGACCCCCTAAAGATTTGCAGGTTTGTGTACAAAGTGGGTAAGTGGATTCTGTGCTTCTGTGCACAGATGGGCAATTTTTCCATTTTGTGTTCCTTCCCTCCCTACTGTACAAACACTTTGGGAATGGGGAATAGTTATGACCATGCTTATGGCCCTACCAAATTCAGTCCATTTTGGTCAATTTCACGGTCATATGATTTTTAAAATTGTAAATTTCATGATTTCAGCTATTTAAACCTGAAATTTAACAGTGTTGTAATTGTAGGGGTCCAGACCCAAAAATAAGTTGTGCGGGGGGGGGGGTCACAAGGTTATTGTACAGGGGGTTGCAGTTCTGCTACCCTTACTTCTGCTGGTGGCGGCGCTGCCTTCAGAGCCGAGCAGCTGGAGAGCAGCAGCAGCTGCTGGCTGGGAGCCCAGCTCTGAAGGCAGAGCCGAGCAGCTGGAGAGCAGCAGCAGCTGCTGGCTGGGAGCCCAGCTCTGAAGGCAGAGCCGAGCAGCTGGAGAGCAGCAGCAGCTGCTGGCTGGGAGCCCAGCTCTGAAGGCAGAGCCGAGCAGCTGGAGAGCAGCAGCAGCTGCTGGCTGGGAGCCCAGCTCTGAAGGCAGAGCCGAGCAGCTGGAGAGCAGCAGCAAGGATGGCATGGCATGGTATTGCCACCCTTACTTCTGTGCTGCTCCTTGCAAAGCTGGGCCCTCAGTCAGCTGCTGCCACTCCGGCCACCCAGCTCTGAAGGCAGGAGCGCAGAAGTAAAGGTAGCATGGTATGGTATTGCCACTCTTACTTCTGCACTGTGCTGGTGGGGCTCTGCCTTGAGAGCTGGGCCCCGGCCAACAGCTGCCACTCTCCGGCCGTCCAGCTCTGAAGTCAGTGCAGAAGTAAGGGTGACCCCCACCCCGCAACTCCCTTTCGGGTCAGGACTCCCAATTTGAGAGATGCTGGTCTCCCCCATGACATCTATATAGTATAGGGTAAAAGCACACAAGAGACCAGATTTCACCGTCTGTGCCGTGTTTTTCATGGCTGTGAATTTGGTAAGTCCCTAATCGTGCTGCCTTACAAAGGGGCCTGCATGTTTCCTTCCATCATCTCTAGGACGGATATCTGATCACACAAATTCTATGGCATTATAACACCCCTGGAAAAAAAAACTAACAGTGTTATGATTTGATTTTAGTGTATAGAAGAATGAGCCATAGCAGATTGCTATAGCAGGGGGAAGCATGTGTCAATTCACAGGAGTTACCACAGCAGAGTGCAAAAATCACACTGATCCAACGCATAGTGGCAAAACTCCTAGATGGTGGGTGCTGTGAAAGTGCAAATACCCAGCAGAACAAGATTCTGTTCTGTTTAAATGCACAAGACCCTGGGCTCACTGAAAGCTTTAAACCATCTATTTAAAATTCAGTCTGCCCCTTAATAGGCAGTCAGGATAGAGAACCATAATAAAATGACAACTGCTCAATCGTGTGATCAGCTGGCAAGAAGTGTTGCATTCTACATCCTAAGGTAAAACAGAAGAGCCCTGCTGAAAGTCTTACAGGGAATTTATAATACTCAGGCCTCGAGATCATGAGTTGCTGTTGAACGAATGTCACAGTCTAAGGGCCCTGGTATTTTGGAACTGCTTATGGATCGAGTGTAAACCGTGCTGCTGACAAAAAACCTTTTCTATCACATATGGGGACTGCTCATGGAAAATACATGGTCAGATACATTACCAAGTTTCTTAACCCTGTCTCAGAACTCTAAATGCTCCCCCCTACACAACTGGGAGCACAAAGACAGCCCATCAATGGCCCTTGCCCCACAACAAGATTTCTATGTTGAATTTAAGAATGAACCCACAACACATCTGGATAGCACTTTCATGTACACAGCCTACAGCGATAGCAGGGGACACTGGCTAAAGGATGAATGATTGTATTGGTATACGGAGGATTCCTTCCAGGTTCAGGATAGATCTTGCTAAAAAACACTTGCATCGAGCAATAACTGAGATACAATTTCAAGGCAATTTCAAAACCCTCAGTAACAACACACAAATATCCACCGTGCTCTCCATTAGAACTTCATGCAGAGCAAAGAAAGACAGGCGTACATGCCTATTTAAAAGTACCTTATGGTTTAACCTTATTAATTCTCACCTTGAGTTACCAACTGCACCAGATAAGAGGTCGGATTTTTCTTTAGTTATAGTTTTCTGAAGTATATATAATCAGGGCCTTATGCATACTGCAGCTCAGCAGAACATACCTCTTGCTGTATGTGGCATCTGGTTCACATTCATGAATTCCTTTATTCAACTAGCAGAGTTCCTCAGCCCTTGTCCTGAGAAGAGTCACTGTTAACCAGTCAGCAGCTACAGAGCCCTACTGAAGGAGGGTCAGGAAGAAGGAAAAAGAAGTTCACCAGCAGTAACTCATTATCTGAATGCATTGCCTCCAACAGGCTCTTCCGCCTTACAAAGTGGAGGTAATTCAGCTCCAAATAAGTATTGTGGATGTAGAGAGGAACTGAGGTTTAGTTAAAAGGAGGTGGGGTATTTCATACATAACATAAAGCTAGAAGGCACCATTGTGACCATCTAGTCTGATCTCCTGCATAATACAGGACCTCCCTGAACGTGTTCCTGTTTGAACTACGGGTTATCTTTCACAAAAGCATAGAAACTTGATTTAAAAGTTCCCAGTGATAGAGAATCCACCACAAACCTTGGTAAGTTGTTCAATGGTTAATTACTCTTAGTGTTAAAAACGTATGCTTTATTTCCAGTCCCCCCCGTCCAAGTCATTTTCAGAGTCACTGCTTCCCAGGATACAGTCCTCCATCCTGTAAGTATGGCCTACACTTTGTTCATAAATGCATACATTTATATTTAGCTGTACTAAAATGGCTATTGTTTGCTCCTGCCCAGCTAGCCAAGTGATCCAGTGCATCGATGACCTATCCTCCGCATTATTTACTACTTCTGCAATTTTTGTGTCATTTGTACTTTTATCGGTGATTGTTTTCTTTCAGGCCATTAATAAAAATGTTAAATAGCAAAGGACGAAGAACTGATCCCAGGAGGACACCACTAGAAACAGACCCACTCAACAATGAGTCCACATTTGCAATTATTAGACCTGTGTTAGCAAGATTTTAATCAACTTAATGTGTGCCATGTTGATTTTGTATCATTCTAGCTTCATCAAAATGTCATGCTGTACCAAATCAAATGCCTTATTGAAGTATATTACATCAACATTATTTATCATCAACCCAAGTTGTATGCTCATCAAAAAAGATATTTAACGGGATAAGTTCTATTTTCCATAAACCCATGTTCATTGGCATTAATTACCCTCCTTTAATTCAGTCCCACATCAGCTGTTCCATTATTTTGCCCATGATCAATGTCATGCTAACAGGCCTAAAGTTTCCCAACTCATTCCTTTTACCCTTTTTTAAGTAATGGCACAAAATTAGCTCTCTCCCAGTCATCTGGAATTCCCCAATGCCTGAAGACTTATAGAAAAATTTATATTAACAGTCCAGAATGCCACAACCAGTTTTTTTTTTTAAAAAAAACTCTTGGGTGCAACTTATCTGGACTTGCTGATTTTAAAGTGTCTAGCTTTAGTGAAACAGCTACATCTTCCTGAGTTAATGCAGGAATGAAAGGTCTTTCACCATCATCATATAACACTAGATTTTTCTGCAGTAATTTAGAAAAGCAAGAACAGAAATATTTATTGAACATGTCTACCTTTCTTGATTATTATTGATAATTCTACTATATACATCTAGTAGTAGATCAATACCATTGTTAAGATTCCTTTTATTCCCTCAGTCTACAGAACAAATGGATGCTTTTACCCTTAGATTTTTATATCAAATGACGCACATGGGGCCCTTGTATTGGTTAACAACAAATTCAAGTCCCAAAGACTCTCAGACTCCAATGGGAGAGTAAAAGTTCATAAGATCTTTAGAATTTTTTCCATCAGAAAATGGACAGATCCAGGGGTCTCTTTCACAAATCTTCACAGTTGCCAGCATTAGTTTTGATAACACCAGAGTCTAGTATAACTAGAACTGGACAAGAAACAGAGTCAAAGCTCTGTCTTGAGCAAACCTAATATGGCTCCATTTGACAATGTAACACTTCCCAGGAGCTTAAGTTTTATTTTAGTATTAAGAAGTAAAGAACATAACAGATATTGGTCAGACCAATGGTCAATCTAGCCCAGTATCCTGTCTCTGACAGTGACCACTGCCAGAGGCTTCACAGGGAATGAGCAGAACAAGGCAATTTCGAATAATCTATCCCCTGCCATCCAGTCCCAGTTTCTGGCAGTTGGAGATTTAGGGACACCCAGAGCATGGGGTTATGTCCTAACCAACTTGGCTAATAGCCAGTGATGTCCTACTCTCCATGAACTTATCTAGCTCTTTTTTGAACGCAGTTATCGTTTTGGTTTTCACCACATCCCCTAGCAATGAGTTCCACAGGATGACTGACTGTGCAGTGTCTGAAGAAGTACTTCCTTGTATTTGTTTAAGCCTGCTGCCTATTAGTTTAATTGGGTGATCTCTGGTTCTTGTGTTATGAGAAGACTTCCTTATTCACTTTCTCCACACCAGTCATGATTTTATAGACCTCTGTCATATCCCTCCTTTGTCATCTATTTTCTAAAATGATGAGTCCCAGTCTTTTTAACCTCTCCTCATACAGAAGCTGTTCCATACCCCTATCATTTTTGTTTCCCTTCTATGTACCTTTTCCACTTCTAATATCTTTTTTTCTAAATGAGGAAACCAGAACTGCATTCAAGGCATGGAGATACCATAGATTTATATGGCAGCATTATGACATTTTGTTTTATTATCTATCCCTTTTTCCTAATGGCTCCTAAAATTGTTAGCTTTTTTTGACTGCTGCTGCACATTGAGTGGATGTTTTCAGAAAACTATCCACAAGGATTCCAAGATCTCTTTCTTGAGTGGTAACAGCTAATTTAGACCCCACCATTTTGTATGTATAGTTGGGGTTATTTTTCCAACATGCATTAATTTCCATTTATTGAATTTCATCTGCCACTGTTGCCCAGTCACTCAGATTAGTGAGATCGTCGCAGTCAGCTTTAGACTTAACTGGAAGCGTTTAGTAGAGTCAATACTTGTGTCGACTACAATTTACACTTTGTTTGGTTTCGCCGTTATCTCACACTTGGACTACTGCAGAAATTGATAACTCCGCTTTTCCTCTATCCATCCTCTAAAATAAGAATACCCCAAATGCAACCCACACAGAGCTCCTTAAGGGAGATAATGCAACAGACCACTGGACTAGGAAATTGGGAAACCAAAATTCTATTCCCAGGTTTGCAACTGACTCACTGAATGACCTTAAACAATTCACTTACCCTTTCTGTGACTCAGTCTCCCATTTATAAAATTGGAATAGTGATGCTCTAGTCATGGTGTGAACATTGAGAATTACGATTGAATAGCATTGTAGAAGTTATTTATTTTCATTGCAGTAGTACCTAGACACCACAGCCTACTGTCCTGAGCTCTGTACAAATATATCATGAGGCAGTCCCTGCCCCAAAGAACTTACAAGTTAAGTAAGACTAAGACAACAGGTGGAAACAAACACACAGAAGTACAAGAAAACAAATGAGATACCACTAATCATCATGAGAAGCTGCCTAACCAAGTGCTACCTCCGCCTGCATCTTTCACACAGTCCCTGGAGAGTACAGCTCCCAGCACACAAATCTCTATTTCCATCTGAATAGCCTCCTACCTCCAGACACTGGTTGTTAAGTATTCTCCAGCACCCATCAAGTTGTTGCTGTTCACTGAAATCCTTTATTTACACTTATACCTACTCTCTGGAGAAACCATTTCTTGAATTTAATCTGACACCAGCCAAATGTTTATAACTCTTCACTAAGTCAGAGTTTGGTTTAGTTCTGTAAGGCATTAAGATATGGATAAATGACAATTACCTCACCCACCCTATCACTAGAGTAAAGAGTCTTCTCTATAACAGGACCAAATGGAGTTAGAGGAAGGCATCACTCCTCAGAATAAGAATTTGTGTTTAAGTTACTATCAGTTAATGAGCAAGCATTGTCAGTATAAATAAAGAGAACGATTCCTGAATCATCCCACAGCATCTTTGGTTTATCACACCCACGTTCAGCAAAAACTACAAGCCCAGACTGTAATTGCCTAAGACAAACTATTGCGACAGCTCATCTGCTGTTTGGAGAGGGACGCTCCGCTCATCCCCAGCACTCCCCGGAAAGCCTCTAGCCCTGGCAGGGTATCAGCGCCGCCTGCCCGACTACTGTACTTAAACCCAGCTCTCGGCACAGCAAGCCCATCCTGGCCAACAGCCCAAAGGGCATCGCCCGCACCTCGCTGCCAGACCCCAGTCCCGGCCGGGGCACTGCCGGCCCGATGACCCACCCCGAGCTGCTCTCCAGCGCGGCCGGCTCAGCGACTCCCGCCCCGCGGCTGCGGCGCGCAACAGAAGCGGCCGCGCTCCGGCGGAGCGAGCTCGCACGACCCGTGCCAGCCCGGGCAAGGCCTATGACCCGCCCGAGCGGCCTCCGGCTCCGCGGGGCAGGCCCGGCCCGGCCCGGCCCCGTCCGCCTGCCATCAGCCCACCCGCCCTGGCGCCCGCCCCCCGTCAGCGCCCGCCTCTGCCCCTGTCCGGCCGGGGCCGGCGGCCTCTGCCCCCGGGCCCCACGTACCGTTCTGGCGGCCTCTGCCCAGGTCCTGCCCTTCTTCCTGCGGCCCTTCTCCCTCATGTCGCACGCGATGGGGTGCAGCCGGCTCGGAGGCTCCCGGCCGCTCCTTCCGCCCGCGGCACTGGGGCCGCCGCTGCGCCGGTCCCGAGGGGGAGAGCGGGGGGCGGCCCTAGGTCCGAGCGCTGCAGGCGCCAGCTCCCCCTGCGGCCGCGGCTGCCATGTTGGGAGCCTACTGTACAGGGGCTGCGGTCATGTGACCCCGCCCGCGTGACTCCACCTACTGTACTGGCCGCGGAGAGGGGCGGGGCCGGGGGACGAAAGGCCCCGCCCCAAGGGGAGAGAGAGAGAGAGAGAGAGAGAGAGAGACCAGCGCCTGCGCTCTGCCCTGTACCGCCCCCACCGCCGCGCCCTGCGGACTCCCCGCCTACACCCCCTCCCCCAACCGCCACTCTCAAGGGTCCTTCCCAAACGGCGTGAGCGCGCCCCGCTTCTCCTCCTGCCTGCCACGCCCCCTTGGGGCTGCCACTCACCTGTGCCCCGCCCCTACGGCTCCATCGCCTGCCCGCCCCACCCCCAGCGTCTGCCTGCGGCTAGCTCCTCCCATCCCCCTCCTTCCTCATTCCTCACTGCAGCTCCCCAGCGGTCCTTCCCTCCCGCCGCCCGCTGCCCTCCCCTCCCCCCCGCCAAACCGCCACCCCCAACGGCCGCCCGCTCCCCTCCCCTCCCCCCCGCCAAACCGCCACCCCCAACTGCCACACACATTCCCCTCCCCCAACGGCCACCCCCAACTCCCACACACATTCCCCTCCCCCAACCGCCACCCGCTCCCCTCCCCCAAACCGCCACCCCCAACTGCCACACACATTCCCCTCCCCCAAACCGCCACCCGCTCCCCTCCCCCATACCGCCACCCCCCAACTGCCGCCCGCTCCCCTCCCCTCCCCTCCCTCCCTCCCCCAACCGCCACCCGCTCCCCTCCCCCAAACCGCCACCCCCAACGGCCGCCCCCTCCCCTCCCCTCCCCCAAACCGCCACACACATTCCCCTCCCCCAAACCGCCACCCCCAAGAGCCACCCCCTCCCCTCCCCTCCCTCCCCCAACCGCCACCCGCTCCCCTCCCCCCAAACCGCCACCCCCAACTGCCACACACATTCCCCTCCCCCAAACCGCCACCCCCAAGGGCCACCCGCTCCCCTCCCCTCCCCCCATACCGCCACCCCCAACTGCCGCCCACTCCCCTCCCCTCCCCTCCCTCCCCCCAACCGCCACCCGCTCCCCTCCCCCAAACCGCCACCCCCAACGGCCGCCCGCTCCCCTCCCCTCCCCCAAACCGCCACACACATTCCCCTCCCCCAAACCGCCACCCCCAAGAGCCACCCGCTCCCCTCCCCTCCCCTCCCTCCCCCAACCGCCACCCGCTCCCCTCCCCCCAAACCGCCACCCCCAACTGCCACACACATTCCCCTCCCCCCAACTGCCGCCCGCTCCCCCCCCCCAAACTGCCACTCCCAACTGCCACACACATTCCCCTCCCCTCCCCCCAAACCGCCACCCCCAACTGCCACACACATTCCCCCCCCCCAACTGCCGCCCGCTCCCCTCCCCCCCCCAAACCACCACCCCAACTGCCACCCCCTCCTCTCCCCCATACCCCACCCCCAACTCCACACATTCCCCTCCCCATGCCACCCGCCCCTCCCCTCCCAAACCGCCACCCGCTCCCCTCCCCCAAACCGCCACCCCCAACTCCCCCTTTCCCCTCCCCCCCCCCAAACCCCACCCCCAACTCCACACACATTCCCCCCCCCAACTCCGCCCGCTCCCCCCTCCCCTCCCCCCAAACCACCACCCCCAACCGCCACCCCTCCCCCTCCCCCATACCGCCACCCCCAACTGCCACACATTCCCCTCCCCCAACTGCCGCCCGCTCCACTCCCCAACCCCCCCAACTACCACACGCTCCACTCTCCAACCCCCCCAACTACCACACGCTCCTCGTTCCAACATCCTCAGACTCGCCTCCCGCAAACTGCTCCCCTCCCCAGCTGTCACACACTCCCTTTCTGCCACCCCCAACTGCATCTCGTGCCTCCCCAAGGGCCGGTCCCTACTACCGCATATTGTCCTCTCCCAATTGCTGCAACCAGTGGCCCCTCCCAAATGCCACCTACACCCAGTCCCTCACCCAACTGCCACTACTAGCGTTCCCTAACAACTGCCACGCATTGCCTCCCCCAGCTGCTGCTCCCAACCATCTCCCCCCACTTCCTCATTCCCAGCCCTTCTCCCGCTCGTCACTACATGTCCCCTACTGTTACCCCGTATACCGCTCTTCACTGCCATCCCTGAGGCCCAAACGCCAGTCCCGGATTCTGCTCCTGGTTCCCATCTGCAGCCCCCCCTCTCTTCTCCCAGAGTGATCATCCCGGCCACCGCCACTCATTCTCAACTGACATTAACCTTCTCCCACAATGGCTAGCAATTGTCATTCTCAACCCACGTATAAACTTCTGATTCCAGCATTTGTCCCTTCTTTTCTATGGGCCAGCACACAAAACATCCGTCTCGCTGTCTGAATAGCAGCAGAAAGGAACTAACTATCACACCATTTGTGCGTTGGTCCCAGTTACAAACGTGTATTATGCTTTCGTAATTCTGATCATGTAATATGTCACATGGCTGCTGTTCCCTGTGTCTGATTACAGGGAAAGGAGACAGCGTCTCACTCTGCACGGTACCGTATTGTCCCCGTTTTAATGGCAAGGGTAATGCGAAACCTTTATTGCTTTATATGTGTGGTAGCACAGACATTAGTGGGTGTGTGCCAGAAGGAAATGAGGAAACGAATTTCCTGTGTCTACACGATGGACCTTACAGTGGCACAGCTGTACTGCAGTCGCTGTGATGCTGTGAGGTCTCCTGTGTAGCCACTCTATGCCGGTGGGAGAAAACAGTCTCACCCTCGTAATCTTTTAATTGGTATTCAGCTCTCTGGCCCCTGGTTAAGGCTTCATCTACTATGAATATCTCATCGGTAAACATTTGTTCACAGCCTTTTTCAAAAGCTCCTTTGGTTTTAGATAGGCGACCACGTGAGACTTTTCGAAAAGGGGCAACAACCGGTTTTATTTTAAAACCGTCCCCATAAACCATTTTCCATACATTCAGAGAATTTGAAGGTTTAACATCAGCGGGTCTGGTATATATAGTTCTGTGAAAGCTCTGGTTGTAACTCTTTATAACGTCAGGTAACACATCGATGTAGCGAAAAGTGTTATGGGCTGTAAAATATCTCCACATAGTCCAAAGTTCTCCCAGGGTGGTGAAGGAGTGCATGTTTCCTCTGAGCGTTTCCACAATTTCTGAAACGTGTTCTTGAAACAAAATGGTCTCTTCCACGCGATGCCGGGACTTCCAGGGGTGATGCTGCACTCTGATTGGTAGAGGGCAGTAGGGGGAGCTCTTAGAGGGGTCACATGACCCTCTTCTGGGTGGGTCATCCTGCCCTGGAACTCCCCCCAATTGGTCAAATTCGCTCTCAGGGCTGGCCTCTGCAGCTGAAACCCATCCTGATTGTTAGAGGCCGGTGGGAGGAGTTCTTAGAGGGGTCACACAACCCACTTCCAGATGGATCACCCCGCCCCAGGACTCCCCCCGATTGGTCAAATCTCCTCTTGGGGAGGCCCGGGGGGGCACAAAACCCATCCTGATTGGTAGAGGGTGGTGGGAGGAGTTCTTAGAGGGATCAAATGACAGGCTTTACTTCTGATCATGTGTCTGCCTTGACCCCGGAAGTAATACCGCAGGGGGCGGGTCTTATGGTGACAGGTAGTTGGGGCCTGATGCCCAGGAGGAGGGTCCTACATTGATTGATGGTAGGCCCCTTATACTACTTTAGGGGTATGGAACAGCTTCCATATGAGGAGAGATTAATAAATCTAGAACTTTTCACCTTGGAAAAGAGATGACTAAGGGGGTGTATGATAGAGGTCTATAAAATCATGACTGGTGTGAAGAAAGTAAATAAGGAAGTGTTATTTACTCCTCATAACACAAGAACAAGGGGTCACCAAATGAAATTAATAGGCAACTGGATTAAAACTAACAAGACGAAGTATTTCTTCATACAACACACAGTCAACCTGCAGAACCCTTTGCCAGAGGATGTTATGAAGGCCAAGATTATAACAGGGTTCAAAAAAGAACTAGATACATTCATGGAGGATAGGTCCATCAATGGCTATCAGCAAGGCTGGGCAGGGATGGTGTCCCTAGCCTCTGTTTGCCAGAAGCTGGGAATGAGCGACGGGATGGATCACTTGATGATTCCCTGTTCTGTTCATTCCCTCTGGGGCACCTGGCATGGGCCACTGTTGGAAGACAGGATACAGGGCTAGATGGACCTTTGGTCTGACTCAGTATGGCTGTTCTTATTTACTTTTTTCTCAGGTCCCAAGAGAAATTTATGGCTCTGGCAGACAGAAAAACCACCTTAGGGCTAGTAAATTGAGTCCTTTTGTGTGTGCATCACTGAGAAAACCAGCAGGATGTTACTAAAAAGAGACAGTAAAGTTAAGATGGGAGGGAGAGCTTGGAATTTGAAATTATAAAAGTCAAGCAAAACAATGCAATAACAATTTCAAGAGTTTAATATCTTATGTTAAGTTTTAGAAGTAAATTAAAGTTGATCCTTTCTCCAAAGAGCTAAAGATTAGCTGACGTGTATCATCGGTTTCATCTTAAGAGCTACATTACGTTTTAAACAGAAATTTTTACATGCGACTTTCAGGTCAAAATTTCAGCTGAAAGTTCTTTTGATTTCCAGTCTTGGTATCAGTCTGAGCCAGCATCAAAGATTCAATCCACTGGCTTTCTGATTCACTAGTGGCAAAACATCATCAATAAACAGCCCAAGAAGATACTATATCACTGCATGGGGAGGATGGAGGATGTAAGTCATTTTCTAGGAAAGGTTAACATAAATTTTGAAAATTTTGCTAAGGGGGCAAACAGTGGGTGCCATCACCGTTCAGAGCAACACCACCTCTATTTCCCCTCAGTGAGTCGGAAAGGGCACTCACACAGGCTTCCAGCCCCTCTGGCCGTCACCTCTCCTGAGTGGAGACCCCCATCTCCCTCCCCTCTTATCAGGGTATTCCCAGGTTGAACAGTTCCCTGCTTTTGCTGTGTTGTTCCCAGCAGGGCCAGGCTGCCCAAGCAGGCCTGCTTGCTTTCTTTTCGGAGACAGTTAATCGTGTGACTGCCTACAGTTATAATTCTGTTTTA